ACTCAGAGTGAAACTACTCAGTTTGAGACCAGGTAATTAGTGTGGTTGTCTGGCACATTATTATTATTTTACAAAGATTATTTACTTTCAGAATCCAAACAAGAGAGTTTCATTAATCTTATGTGGCGACTTTAATAGTGTACCATCATGTGGTATTTATCAACTTTATACTACTGGAGTATCACCAGATACTTTACCTGATTGGAAATCCAGTAAGAATTATTATATTATTTATATAATGTTGCTTTTTGCAATGGTGTACATTAAACATGTATATGTGATTTTTCAGATTCAAATGAAACAGTATCCAATTTAGTTCTGGAACAAGACATTTTTTTAGATAGTGCTTGTGGCACCCCACCATTTACGAATTTCACAGCTTTATTTGCTGATTGCTTAGATTACATATACTATGAACGAGTCAATTTGGAAGTTGAACAGGTAGGCATTACTTGTAAGCAAGTAAGTACAACCAATGATATAATGTATGTGGGTTAAGAATTGCCCAGTCACATATATAGCAACCATTTTGCTATATAATCGGTATGATGGTGGATTTCACCATTTAATATTAATTAAAAACATCAGTCATTTGGTCACCATTGGTTCAGTTTGTTTGTTACAATATTTACATTTCTTTCAGGTAGTTCCATTTCCTAGCCTAGAAGAATTGCAGGCGCACACAGCTTTACCGAGTATTGTCTTTCCATCGGACCACATAGCTTTGATATCTGATTTACGTTTTATATGATGCTACTTATAAGAGAAATAAGTTATATGCATAATATTGTAAATAAAGCAATATGTACATTGATAGCATTATCATAATAATTTGTCTTTCAATAGGGTAAACAGGGAGTATGGATGTCCACTTGCTTCGTTCTCAATATAATTTGCTTCACTTTTGCTGTCTCCACCCATGTCAATCTCGATGTATAGAGTAGAAGTATGAATTTCAGTTTCCGAAATTCAATGGCACTTATTGAGTGATTTTTGTAAAGCCCTTTTTTCTTTTGGTTTTAAGGTCTGAAACATACAAATAATTTCAAGCAATGTCAATAATTATAAAATGACAGAAATATTTAACTTAAATACAACAAAAAACGATATTTTAGGTCACACAAATGAGATTGCAGTAACACGAATGATTTTCTCATAAAGATAAATGAGAAACACTGCACAGTAAAGAGAAATTATTATTACAACACACATTTTATCGTTCACAAAAGAACATTTAATATGTAACAATAGATTTAGTATATAGGATGAATTTTTAGTCATCGTCCAAACTTTCATATTATGATCTTTAATGAAAATATAACGTGCGCAAATTTTCCTTTTAGGGTAAATCAATAGGTACTAAAATTAAGATATGCCATCGCAAAATTGTTTTAAAAAATTGCGCGCGTGTGGACAGCCTACTCGATATGCGCGCTAGGCCATCCCCCGCGTCATTGATAAAAGACATAAGTTGCAAATTTTCCCTTCATACTTTCACGGGCTTAGGACCGTCAAGTTACAAAAGGCTTTTGTGATGTTATTTTAGAATGTAGACAATTAATTCGAATTCAAGTCACGATTTTGTTACATTAACGCACGAAAACGAGAGCGGAAGTTATTTATAAGTAAATTGTTTTAGAGGTTTGACAAAATTTAATAATGCACCTGATAAACACACCTAATTAGGAAAGTTCGTTTCCCGAACTTAACTTCTACGCATTTAAAGCGTTGTGTTACCGAAGGCCATCGAAGAATTTACTTATTGAATTTCAAAGTCACTAAAAATTTTACCATGTGTAGAGAACAAAAGAAAATAATCTTTACTTTTGTTTGTGAGACAAACAAATAAAAGGTTCGCTTCCTACGATGAATTGTAACGAATTAGTATTTAGCAAGTAATAAAAAAAAAGAATCTTCCCATCGCCCTTTTGTTATCTACGTACGTGGTGTTTTTTAATAGTGAACTAGAAACATTTTATAATAATATCAATAAATTTAAACAAAACATCGATTTACGACAAATGTAGTCCGCACTCGTATCGTACACAGAAGTATAAAAATAAAAGCAGGCCATGCCTTTTGCAATAAGGCGTATTTTAAAAATTTGAATCAACTTATGTACATTTAATTAAAATCAAATAAAAATTACCTTAGCGTAACAACTTTAACAGTATTTTAATAAAAGCTCAAAATGTAAACCATTCCTCTCCAAGCAGATTCTTGCACGTTTTTGAATATTGTCTTGTATTTTGTTCAGCACTGCAGTGTTACTTTTCACTTGTGCAAATGCACTTTCAATTTTTAGTTTCAATTCGTTGAGGCTTTGGGCCTCCGCCACATACACGCGGCGTTTAATTTCGCCCCACAAAAAAAAGTCACAGGGTGTGAGGTCTGGTGACCTAGGTGGCCATGGAACGGGACCCCCGCGGCCGATCCAGCGATTCCCGTATTCCATATTTAAATAATTCCTCACGTCGATAGCGTAATGTGGCGGTGCACCGTCATGCTGATAATAAAAAGCAGGATGGTTAATGAGGGCTAGCGGTACGTCGTCCATCAAAACAGAGACTATGCTTTGTAGCATATTGAGATAGGTGCCTCCGGTCAGCCGCCCCTCAATAAAATACGGCCCTAGAATTTTATCACCGACAATCCCGGCCCACACATTTGCACTAAAACGCACTTGGTGATAATTGTCTTTTATCATGTGCGGATTGCGATACGACCACCAATGTTCATTATGTTGGTTGTACAGCCCCACACGTGTGAATAGGGCATCATCAGTCCATAAAATGACCGCATCGGGGTGTGCGATCAGCCACTCGCAGAAAACTCGACGAGGCAGCGCGTCTGCTTCATTTAGCGTTTGCACTTTTTGAAAGTGATAAGGGTGCAATCCACAGGTGTTGAGCAGCTTCCACACAGCGTATTGGCTAACGTTGAACCGTCGAGCTGCATCACGTGTACTTCGTCTTGGATCTCTCTCGAAAAAATCAAAGATTTCGTCTTCGATTTCCACGGACAGTCGCGGCCTACCACGTCCTTGGGCGTGTGAAGGCGTCGTAAACTGGCCATGGTCTAAAAGCCTCTGTATGACATGCAGAAACGTTTGGCGGTTGGAGACTGTAGGACTTGCTATTCCATAATTGCGAAGGCGAGGTTATAAGATTTATTATAGAAGGTAGAACGAAACTGATGTGTCTCTCTCGCCCTGTAAACGCTATACCGAACTGACGTGTTTCATTGTGCTCCGTACCTGTAATAGTGGACCCCGCAGCTGGACCTTATTCACAAACCTCTCAGTGGCGACGAACAGACCTCACGCGTGTACCTTAACAGACAGTATTGTGTGCGTAAAATCAGTGAAATGGCAGTGGGAAAGGTCGGACCCTTTGACCTCGCTAAGGACAATTTTGAAATGTGTGTGGATCGTTTGGATCAATATTTTATTGTGAATTCAATCAAAAGTGAACTCAAAGTGGCTACGCTAATTACAGTAATCGGCAGCGATGCTTATGAACTGATGGTGAACTTGTGCACGCCCGATAAACCGGCCACGAAAACGTACACGGAACTCGTGACCTTGATGAAAGGACATTTAAATCCGAAACCCAGTTTATTAGCTGAACGATTCAAGTTTAGGAGGCGCGTTCAAACAACTACCGAAAAGATAGCACATTTCGTGACCGATCTTCAGAAATTGAGTAAACACTGCGGGTTCTCGGCGGACAGTTTAAAAGAAAATTTAAGGGACCAATTTGTGTGTGGACTAGTGAATGATGAAAAATTGTTTACGGAAGACGACACGATCACGTTCGACAGAGCGTATAAAATTGCGGTGTCAATGGAAGCGGCCGAGGCGAATGCGGCCATGGTAGAGGACTGTACCAGGAATCGAACCGGTGACAGGGTACCAATGGGCGCGGTGGCTTCGGTGCATCAGTTGAGACGAGCGAGCGGAGAGCAAGCGGCGCGGGCGGGGGCCAGCGGCAGTAACGCGCGCGGCAGCGGCGCGGGCGCGGCAGGGGCGAGGCTAGCGGCGACCGCGGTCGGGCGCATGGCCGGCGGGGGCTCAAGCGCCACAAGCGGAGCGGGGAGCGGGAAGTTCCGTAATACCGGGCGGAATAATACCACGTATTATAGACCGGAATGTAAAGTGTGTGGAAACCAACACGAGTCTGAATCATGTAAATTTAAAATATATGTTTGTCGGCTGTGTAATCGAGAAGGGCACTTGAAGAGGATGTGTCCTAAATTGAACGGCAAATCATCACTATACAATATTACAGGGATAAAGTCGGGGTCTATAGATGACGCCGATAGCACCGATAGCGAAGAGGTAAACAACTTTTCTTTAAATACAAATCAGTCAAAATTGTTTGCACCATACCCGGTAGATGTTTCCATCGACGGAGTATCATTGACTATGGAGGTACAATAGATACGGGTAGTGCAATTTCTTGCATAAGTTTAGACTGTTATCAAAAATTATTGTCGCATTGTGTGTTGCAAAATTGCAATTTAGTATTGCGATACTATACAGGTGAAATGGTAAAACCGTTAGGGAAAATTGCACCTAAAGTTAAATACGGGAATGTATGTAAACAATTAGATTTGTATATAATCGAAAGTGGTAAAACAAGTTTGTTAGGCAGAGGTTGGATTAATGAGTTAAAAATAAATATATTAATGTTAGCTTGTAATAAAATTGGCAATGTAAATAGAGTATTTAGCGAGGCGGAATTCAGTTCCAGATACTGTGATGTCTTTGCGGAGGGCTTGGGCCGGTTCACCGGGGGAAAGGTCGGGTTCCATTTGCGCGCCGACGCGCGGCCGCGTTTCCTTCGCGCGCGCCCGCTGGCGTACGCGCTGCGTGAGCCCGTGGAGCGCGCGCTGGCGCAGATGGTGCGCGACGGAATCCTGACGCCGGTCACCACCTCCGACTGGGCCACACCGATTGTGCCGGTTATTAAGAAAGATGGCTCCATAAGGGTATGCGCCGATTATAAATTGACTTTAAATAAGTGTCTAGAGGTGGATCACTATCCGTTACCAAAGGTCGAAGACCTGCTCACGAAGTTGCACGGGGGAGAGAAATTTACGAAGCTTGATTTATCACAAGCTTACGCACAGTTCGAGCTAGACGATTCTAAAAAGTACACGGTGATAAACACGCATAAAGGGCTTTTCATGTACAATAGGCTAATTTATGGTCTAGCGTCGAGCCCGGGCATTTTTCAAAGGAAACTAGAACAGCTGTTTTCGGATATGCCACGGGTGGGGGTTTTTCTAGATGATTTAATTATCACAGGGGTAGACGACCGGTCGCATTTAAATACGTTGCATGAAGTTTTTGATAGGTTGCAAAAATACGGTTTGAGGATAAAAAGAGACAAATGCACTTTTTTCGCAGATTCCGTAACGTACTTAGGGTTCACTATAAGCAAACGGGGTGTGCATACGTGTCCGGATAAGATCGAAGCAATAAAAAAGGTAGCAGCGCCGGCAAACGTGTCCGAGTTGCGATCTTTCCTTGGACTAGTAATGTATTACGCGAAGTTCGTACCCAATATAAGCACCATCTTAGGCCCACTGTACACGTTGTTACGGAAGGGAGTCAAGTACGAGTGGAGTGAAGACTGCGCCCGTTCGTTCGAAAATGTGAAAGAAATGTTGATTTCTAGCGATGTCTTAGCACACTACTCTCCCGAGCTGCCTCTCGTGCTGACGACGGACGCGAGCGCGACGGGCGTGGGCGCCGTGATCTCCCACCTCGCGGCGGGCGCGGACGGCGACGACGCCGAGCGGCCAATAGCCTACGCGTCGCGGGTCCTGAATGCAGCCGAGAAAGGCTATTCACAAATAGAACGGGAGGCGCTCGCTATCATTTACGGCGCACGTAAATTTCACCAATATCTTTACGGTAGGAAATTTATATTGCGCACGGACCACAAGCCATATTGGTGACCATTTTCGGGGATAAGACTGGAAT